GGCGGCAGTTTTAATATTAGGGGAGGCTTTAATAATAGGGGGAAGCGATTAGACTTGAGCATCTCGCCACGAGTGCGATGTGCTGCGAGGGAAATTGGCCGGGCGAGCTCCAATCAAGCCTGTTTAAAAAAGGGCTGGCATCGTATGATCAAGGACTGGAGCCAGTAGGAGTTTGAGGGCTCAGTGAACTCATCCAAATAGAATTCGGTGTAGATGCTGGGGTTTCGGATTTAGGCCGAGTAAGTTCCTGTTTGCACGCTCTCAAGTCGCCCTTGGCAGCTGAAAAAGTCTTGACTATCGAGGCTCCATACTTCTCGTCTTAGGTATACGCTGAGAAGTGCCTCATTCCGAGGCAGAAGGACGCCCACATCACCACTTCCTGAAGCTTCTGCAGCGGAGCTATTGCATTCAGGCTGCTTTGCACCGGAGCCTCGCCTGTTCGCTTGGGTCATGTGGGGGTTTCCGAAAATAGGGGGTACCTTATTTGGGGTCCTTATAATAAGGATCCTATTATTTGGGGTACTATATTAGGGTCCCCTATTTTCGGAAACCCCCATGTATGCGTGCATCTTAACGTACATGTACATGTCATACGTATCTACACACACACGCACACATAATCCGAGGGTCAGTACAAAACAACAATCACATTTAAGAAATAATATATATATATATATTATGATCACAAGTATATACATACACATACGATGTATAAACATGCGTTGCGGGAGTGAAGACTGACACCGAGATGCACGGAGAGATCGAACATGTGCCGAAAGATCGTCGCATCACCCCATGCGTGTTGAAATACAATACCTTAACGACTCAATGACATGCTGCCTGTCAATGCCGTCAATGTCCTCGACACCATGTATTGTAATTAGCAGAAGCAGCACAGAATAAGCATATCATCTCGGCAGAGATGTTTACTTGCCAGGCGGACAAAGTCGCCCAGAAAGACGAGCACGAGAAGTCACTGACGGAGGTCCAGGTGTGCATGGAAGTGCAAGCATAGAGCACCATGTCATCTGAAAGTGTTCTTCACTTCAAAGTATCGTGTCGAGGAGGAGCACGTGGAGCAGGAAGCCGCGCAGTCGGAGCAAGGCATACAAAAGGAGGTGGGGGTCCATGCGGACGTGATGTAAGTTGAATCGTGGCCGATGAAAGTCCATCTCCTGCTATTGCCCTTGCAAGTGTTAAGCTTCAGGCCGTCATATGTTTTTTTAACCCTCGCATGTGCTTTTGACCGTCCAAATAGTATAATAAGATGATTTGCTTATCTCGTGGTGCTTCTGGGGCCTTAAGTATAGAAGATGCTTCAAGCAGTGCCAGCTAGCATAAAACCAGCCTCCTTCCAGCATGGTTCAACTTTTACCCTGGAATCCGCAGATTGTCCGTACCGCCTTGGAACTTCATCAAAGGAGGGTTTGGCTTTGATTTTGAGTCTTGCGGGTATATGTACCTGTAGCCCGAGATACCTACATGCGTGAGAAACTACATTTTCTTGGAGCTCAAAAGCGTAGGTCGCTCAGGGTCGAGGTAGCTGGTAGCTCTTGTGTTCGACCGAAATCTGCGGTCGGCCAGCGACGAGGCTGAGGTGGCCGAATCGGTGCAGCGAGAGGACGCAGCACCCAAAGCCACTTGGTAGCAGAAGCCTTTGAGCTTCAGGGTTTACGGTCGGGTCTGAGGGAAATAATGCTTTGAAGTGTATATAGGGTTGGACTTTCAGGGTTTAGTTTCGAGATTCTCAGTTCCTGAACTGAGAAGGATGGCCTTTGCGGTTGCATGAAGCCGTGGGCCGATGCCCGAGGCTGTAGCCATTGAGGAAAAAGAGGTTTTATGCTCCAGCCGAACTGCACAAGCAGGAATCCAAAACTTCACCTCGATTGGCCGAGCATCCTTGAGCTCCAAAGCCAAGGCCTTACAGCCATAAACGCTGAGAATTCCCAACCCGAACCCGTCTTTCAACTCGAACTCCAACTCGAAGCTCTGTCAGTTCAACCACCCGCAATCCCTATTGTCATGACTACTACTACTACTACTACTACTACTACTACTACAAGTACTACTACTACTACTACTTACTACTACTACTACTACTACTACTACTACTACTACTACTACTAGTTACTACTGCTACTACTACTAGGTACTACTGCTACTACTACTGCTACCACTACTACTACTACTACTACTACTACTACTACTACTACTTCGTGCTTCGACGTCGACGACGACTGCTGCTAGTGGTGCTGCCGCTGCTCCTGCTGCTGGTACTTCTACCTGCTACTGCCACGACTGCTACTTCTGCTAGTGCTGCTACTGCAGCGGCTGCTGCTAATGCTGGTACGAGCACTATTACCCTCACTACAAGCATAACAACAATAAGAACAACTACAACACTACCAACAATTACGACTATGGCTGCTACTGCCAGTCCTGCTTCTACTACAACAACTTACAACAACCACAACTACATCTACAAACAACAACATCTTCAACAGCAGCAACAACAACTACTTCGACCACTACGACGACGACTAGTACTACTGCTGCTGCTGCTGCTACTGCTGCTGCTAATACTGCGACTACGACTTCGACTACGATCACGACTATACTAATACTAGCTAGCAAAAATACTGGCATTATCACTTATTATATCAGTATCACGAATACCAGAATCGAGTTGTCTCTAGAATCTAGAATCTGCGGAGGAGAGCAATCCGAAGGACGAGGCCGAAGGACAGGAGGCCCTGCAACATGTCTTTGTCATCTGTTGTTCAGGATTGCACATAAGGATTATACCGGCAAGAAAAGCCAGGTTTGTGTGGCAATCACACATCATGTTAATACTGGTAAGACTATTTGAGGTTACGGCCTCAGGATTTAGGGATTGGGGGTGCCTTTTTTCTGTGTCTCGTGCAGGCATCGGTGATGTGTTTCGCCATCACTGCTCGTCCGCTTGATACCTAAACCCTCAACGTTTGAACTCATACCGGCGGGTTATTTCAGAAGCTACGGTTTTGGTGCGTCTGGTGAGAACAGAAATCCTGTATCCTTGATCCTTAATCCTACTCTGGCCCTGGAGCATCGGATGTTACCCATCCGGCGGGATTTGGGATGTCTCAGTCCTACTCTTTGGTTTCGGTGGTCTGCTGTGTACTTGTGACATTTCGAAAAAACTCAGGCGAACAGAAAGTCTGTGTTTCGGGTTTCGCAAGGCTCGGAGATAGCAAGATGCAATATCGAAGGATCAGACATTTGCAATAGGGGGAAAAGGCTCCTTCAGTAGCAGATCCTGGGATAGGAGTTTCTGGGATACAAAGGTATGCGCAGTAGTATTTTCTTGTCATCGGGACATGCCTATGACATTGAGAAACATTGCGGCCCCACCCCGTTTGTTCTGCACAACCCATTACCGTATATAGCCAAGATTCTGAGAAAAATCGCGAGGGCTTGCTCAGTCCCACAATTTCACTATCGAGAAGCTCATCCCAATGCAGGGCCAGCAGACCAAAAAGTGCAACTAATCCCTTTACAAACATAAAAGCAACTACATCGGAGGGGCCAGGTATCTATCGCATATACGTATGTATCCACACACACCGTATTGTACCTTTGTTCTATATATATATATATATATATATATTTATTTATTTATTTATACATATATATACTGTGCAAGTATATGTGTATATTATATATATATATGGTATATCTATATATATATATGTATGTATATGCATATACATACACCCTAAACGGCCCTAAACCTCTGAAAGGCTCCCGCTACCCTCGGTCCTTACATCTTCGCATCCTGCCACGAGGCGAGTGGACATCTCATGAATGGGATAATACTTACTCGAAGCGGGTAATTAGGGACTTCAGAAATTAGGGTGCCTAGGGCCTCACATTTACGGCCTTGCACGGTTTTCAGGATGCTAGGTTGTCGGAGGTATACTCTTGAGAGGTTAACTAGGTAAGGGTTTCCCGGTGTTTTTCCACCCGATATTCGAATTATTCAGGGCCTGATATCTCTAATAAAAAATATAATTACCCCCAAAGCCCTATTCTAAGCATGAAGTCCTTTGTAAGCCTTCTACCCCTCAAAGCCCCATTCTAATTATTAAGGCCTACATTCCGTGAGGCTCCAGTCACCTAGATAGCGAACGCTTTGGCCCTACAAGGGTTCATGCCAGTACTTCAAGACCTAAGTATACATTATACTTACATGCAGCCTCAGAGGTTACTTGGACCCCGAATAACCTATTTGTTTCGGGACCTATGTATAAGGAACTTCATAACAGGGAACCCATAAAAGGAAAACCCTAAGCTCATAAAAAGAAGGTATTCCAGGGTCCAGGTAGGGCTCAAGGCTAGTCTTCTGAATCCCTATCCCTTCAACCCCAAAACTCTAAACCCTAAACCCTAAAACACTTTGGGGGGTTTTTGATTTTGGGTGTTCTGCCCTAAACCCTAAACCCTAAACCCTCAACCAAAAGCCCTAACCCTCATAAAGACCCAATCACCAGAGCCAGGGCTTCCAGGTGTCTGCCTGCAAGGTCGAACGATCGAGGGGCTTATTCATGGGTTTAGGATACTTATAAGGCTTCAACAATGGATTAGGGTTTAGGATACTTATAAGGCTTCAACATGGGATTAGGGTTAAGGTGCATTAAGGATGGATTATGGCTCAGTAGTTGGTTTTGGGATAAGGCCGTTTTGGGGTTTAGGGTTAAGGCTGAATAATGAGTTCGGGGCCCGGGGCTAAGGTTTAATTATGGGCTTAGCGTTAAGGCATAATAATAATGGGTTGAGGGTATAAGGCGGAATATTGAGTGTAGGGTTAAGGCTTAATAACGGGTTTAGGGCTAAGGCTTCATAATGGGGTCGGGGCCAAGCCTTAATCATCGGTGCAGGGTACAGGCCTAATAGTGAGTTTAGGATGAATGTTTAATGATTGGTTTAGGGTTATAATGCTTAACATTGGGTTTAGGGTACAAAGCGAAATATTGCCTGTCGGGTTAAGGCCTAATGATGGCTTTGGGGATTAAGGTTGAAAAAATGGCTAGGGTTAAGCCTTAACAATGGATTCAGGGTTAAGGTTTTATCATTGGTTAAGAGTTTAGCGCCTAGGGTGTGTTAGGGTTTAGGGTTTCGGGTTTAGGTAGGCTTGCAGCTCACCTCAAAATGCAAGACGCAACAATGGAATGGGCCAGTACATACGGACCAGCATACCCCTTGCTACTTGCCTGCCCCCCCGCACCACAGGATGTTCTGCAGTACCTGCAGCCACAGCCGGCAGCTCAGACGTCCGGCTGAGGTCCTCAAGTCCAGGTTTCGTCAAGGCTTTGGCGCAGAGCCAATGTTCACTTCCCATGTGCTAGGAAGACAGCAACGCTCACTACCACTACCGCCACCATTTGCAACAAGCTGCAGGTACTACTGCTCAAAACAACAACTACAACTACTACTACTACTACTACTACTACTACTACTACTACTACTAGGGCTACCACCACCACTAGTGCCATCACTACTCCTCCTACTACTACTACTACTACTACTACTACTACTACCAACACCACCACTACAGAGACGGTCACCGCCAGTAGTACGGCTACTCCTACTCCTACTCCTCCCCTCCTGCTCCTGCTCCTACTTCTACTCCAATTCCTCCTCCGCCTCCTACTACTACTAGTGCTACTACTACTACTACTACTACTACTACTACTAGTTACTACAGTACTAGTTACTACTACTACTACTACTACTACTACTACTACTACTACTAGTTACTGCTGATACTACTACTAGTTACTACTGCTACTACTGCTACTACAACATCAACAACAACTACTACTACTACTACTACTACTACTGCTACCACTACTGCTACTACGGCTGCTGCTTCTGCTGCTGCTGCTGCTGCTGCGCTTAGTGAAGTGATGTTGATTATTATTACTACTAGTTGTCTTGTTCGTCCACTTGCTGCTACCAGTTCGACTACGAAACCATTTGCTACGTCGAAGATGGTAGCCAAGGTTGTTGTCCCGGTTATTCTTACTTCTGGGTGTATGCTGTTCTCCGGAGGTCGGACCTTATACAGACCTGGAGCCTTCAAACTTGCATCCTGCATCGCTAAACCCTAGACCCATTCCTTCCCGAACTGGCCCCAGGTTCGTGTGTTACTGTGCCGTGGGGCAGAAGCCAAAGCTGCTTGCCAACCCTAAAGCAGGCTGCCTCTGCAGGATCTCTAGCTGGTGTCGGGTTAGCACTCTGGGGTCTTGGGACTGAAGGTTTTCGAGTACAGGGCTAGCAGGGCATAAGGGTTGTAGAGTTTAGGGTACGGCGAGTTTTCGGGTCAGGCTCAGGGATGACTTTGTTTGCTATCGGTTCCTGCCCCCGTTTTTAGTTCGGGTGGCTAGTTAGTGGAAGAGTTTACATTGACAAAACGTTTCATTCCACTCCCCTACTTGTTTTCGATGTTCCTTAGTTTTGCTGCCTGAACCATGACGTCAAATCTCTGCATGTAATGTCGACGCTTGATTAAGCAACCAATATTTTCCCCATGATTCGTTGTCATGAATATACCAGGATATACCCCAAAGCCTTGTTCTAAGTATTGAGGCCTCTATACTATAAACCCTGTGATTGCGCTTCTACGCACCTTTAAGGGATCCCGACAAGAGCCTTATAATAACCATCATTAAGACACGGCTGAAACGAACCCTACTGCAAGTATTGATTCCCCAAACGGAGCACCGAAACAACCTCTTCGAACAGGAACCCAAACGGGCAGCACGCCAAGACCCCCCTAGTGCCCCTTATGATAACCCCGATAAGCAGCTTGAAGGAAGCCTTAAATGTACCCTGTTCCAACTATCAAGGCCCCTATCATGAAACCCTATGAAGCCCGATTGAAACCTTTCTGAACCCCATAAAGCCCTGTTGTACTTCTTCAGGCCCCCTACGTTACAATCTGCTTGCGACCCCTATACTATAACCTTTGTAAGAACCCTCTCAGATCCCACTGTCCTTCTTAAGGCCCTAAACCCTTAAATCGTAAACCCTTCAACCCGTAAGCCCTAAACCCCAAAACCTTAGACCCATCACCCATTAAAGTCTGCGCCCTCTCCGTCTTGTTTCGCCAGGCCAAGCTCCTCGCATCGAAGGGTTGATGGAAGGCCACGAGTCGGAGCAGAAGAGTCAATCCTTAACTAGGTAGGCCTCCGGGACATTTTACCCTTCACCTTAACTATTGGGCCGAAGATCATCTTGTTTAGGAACAGTTGTTCAAAGGCTTGGAAGGTCCAGCTTAGTTACAGCCCTCAAATTGCCTAGAGTTGAACTACATGTTCAAGCCCGAGCATCCTGCAATCGAAGAGTCGAAGACTGCATTTCTTGTCGAACATACGACACATAAATTGTGAAGTGATGAAGACCTGCAAGCAGTGAACGGCAGCCGTGTGCAGTTTCAGCTGCCGCTTGCGCAGTCTGCCTTCCCCATGCTCCTCGAGACGCCTGCTTTCGAAAGTTGCCGCAGGTGACACCATGCCTGTATACAATGATGTCATCGGAACTTGGAAGCCTTATGTCCAGAGCCTTGTCTACAATCTCAAGTACGGTTTCTGCCGTGCTACGACTGCGCGGTCGGGGGGAGGAGGGCCCTTGGGGGGGGCCTGGGGGAGGGCGTTCTGCACTGTCACAACTTTCAGGGCTATGTACAGCAGAACAGGCAGTAGGCCAATCTGCACATTATGGAGCCCCAGTCCAGTCAGACTGCGCTTCACATGTGTTTTCGGTGTAGGTTTTGACTTGGGCTTCCGCATCCTGCCGGGTGGAAACACAGGACGAGAGCCAGTAAATGCATCCAACACAGCAGAACATACGAGGGAACTGATCTTAGTTGCCAGCTGTAGGGTTCAGGGTTTGGACTTTTGTGGGTTGTGGGTTGGGGTTTGGGTCAATGAAAGCCTAGACTCGTTAGGAATGAGCATGTTCTTACTGTCAGAAAGTTTTCGATATAGGACATCCTCAGTACTTCTCAGTAGGATTCCCCAACATTGGCCGCAACCCTAAGTCTTCGCATCCTCTGAATCAGCTCTGGCTTATGCGTCGTCTTGGAGTGTGATGCATTTCTTGAGTCTGTCAGGGTCCATTTCTGTTCAGAGTCGGTATAGGTAGAATAGCTCCCTGCTCACGAACCGGGTTTGGCTCGGGAACTGAGTGGCCCTGGCTTTTAAAGTTTGGGGCTCAAAGTGTCAGCCCACATCGTGGCTTTTGTTGGGTGCTGTCTTGGCTTGCTGAATGCATCTAATACAAACAGCGCCACAAAGCTTTGATTCAGCAATGGCCTGGTACCATGCCGGACGACGATTGCTGTGATCACAACTGCTGCAATTACATCGGCGGTAACCCTACCATGCAGCTTTTCTATGCCATGGGAGCTGCCACATATGTGTCCCGACTGTGTCAGGGCTTTTGGTCTTAACGGATGCTCGTGAGACATCGATTGCCAGCTGCAAAGATGAGCGGCCAACCCCAACTGATGGCTAAACCCTACTGTGAACCCTGAACATACACTGATCGTCTTGTGAGTTGGATCGTCCCTGTGCGAGCGTGCGAGTCGAAGCCTATACAGATGTAAGCGACTCATGGACCTTCATGGAGAGCCTGAGCGAGTCCCGAAACATTGGCCTGGGCCTGGGTACGTACCCTGAAGATTCGTAAACGCTGAAATACGCTGAACCCTATAGTATCCTCTCTTGAAATACGCTGAACCCTATAGTATCCTCTCTCTCTCTCTATTATATATATATATATATATATGATCATATATATCCGAAATACCAAAGTCGTAAGACGCTATAGAGGACCAAGCTTCATATTCTAGGCAGCCTTGGCCGTCTTCCTGTTTGTGAGGGACATGGCCGAACTTGCAGGGACCTCGGTGGAGGTGTCTTGGCCCTCGATCTGGCTGAGACTTTTCGCTGTTGCTTTCCGCGGCTGCCGCAAAACCCCATAGAGATAGCGCCAAATTTGGATGTTGGGTTTGTCGGTTCTAAATAGTACAATCTGCACTGTCTGCGCATGCCTTTTCGGATTGAAGGTCTCGGGTGCAGCTGGGGGGCAGGGGGGGGGGTGGGAGGGCAGGACGAAGACTTGGATAGGCTGAGTCGGCACTCGCTTTTTGCAAGCGGGAAGCCACGAAACCATAATCTTGTCGTACTGCATCTATATTTAAACTCCCAGTCCAAAGCCGAAGATCCTAGCAGGCGTAAACCTGCAAGTGCCGCAACCTTAATTAAGCTTTCGCTGAAGTTAGCCATCCGGTCCCACGTCCCGGAAAAGCCCCGTGTGATGCTCCCACTTTAAGGGCCGGGTGGACTCTGCCCTCAGATTCGGACCTCTGTTATAAGTTGTGAGTGCGATCCTCGGCCTCAAACCACTAGCAGGCTAGCAGGGTGGCTGTGCTTAAGCTTAGCTCGGCCCCGCCAAGCTGCTCGAAGGTTCCTCCGCTTTTGTCTTACCTGATGCTCGTCGTCGCGCTCATCGTGGCGGCACTTTGGTTTCTGATGCTTGCCTCACGCTGCTTTTCTCCGTGCTGCTGTTCGGAGTCCCTGTTCGATGTGCCACATCCCTGTCCGCTTGAGTGCACGTCGCGGAGCTCCAAATGTTTGGACTACCCCTTCATGATTGCTCTCGGGGGGGAACTGGGCACCCTTGTCCTGATGTTGACCACCGCTTTCGTAGCAGTGGTCCGCAGTGACAGTTATTGGCTGGATGACTTTCTCTTGCCGCTAAGACTGCTTCGGTTCTGTTGGATCATCACCGCCATCGTTGCTACGGTCCTGGCCGCAAAGAAGTACAGAATTATGAGGTTGCAGATGTCACGAGTATCTGGTATTCCGATATCCGGCGACCTACAACTGAATCCAGGACCAGGAACTGTTGTCGTGGTGGGTCTGCCGGTGTCTCTCAGGCCGGCAAGGGTAGATTCCGGATGATCCTGTCCCCCAACCCAACAGGCGTGTAATCGAGAGAAGCCACCCACGGCTGGGATTTGGAGGTTGATCGAAATTTGGGCTCCTTTCAGGTGCTTCCTTTTGAGTACCCAATCAGGACCAGGAGTGGGGGCAGCCCCCCCGTGCAGCCGTTTGCGGTCGGTGGCACTCGGGCTACTCTCGCACATGAAGGGATGAATGTTTGCACTTCCACCTGCAGCTTGCTGATACTCCTCCACGGAATGACAGCATAGGATTGAAATCTGCAATGACAGAGCTCCGCACGGCAATCACTGCACCATCCTGCATTCAAAGAAACTAAGTGGTTCTTCCTCGCACAGACACGGACGGAACGCACCCTTTTCGCAACCCTTCTGGTACTCTCTTGAACACCCCTTAAAGGATCCCTAAACTCCCCTTAAAGGAGCCCGGAGCGAACCGAAGCAAAGGAAGCCTCGGATCAGGTCTCCTGCACGCTGAGGATCGAAGCCCGAATCGAGATGGAGATGAACTTGCAAGGACCAGTGCATCCCATTTTAAAGCTATGTAACGTAACTACAACAGTAACTTTCATCAACACATACTGACATATATATATATATATATATGCACGCAGTGTTATAAAACTATGCAACATAGAATGAGCCCTAAACAGTTTAAGTCGGCTTGGTGCTCCGAGGATGTCAAGGCTGCAGGAGGATCCCATGCAAAGGAGGAGCGCTTCCTCGCGCGGACTCTGTTGAAACGTCAGAAAACTAGGGGTACTGTTGGCTTATTGAAGGGTCCGTATAGTTAGCAACCGAAACCCTAAATCCTTACAGCGAGGTTGCTAGTCGAAGTCTACATAAGAGGTTCTTGCTTTCTGAGATTCAGATCTGTTGTGGCGCTGGGGCCTCGTGGCGGTCGTGTGGCGGAGGAAACCTTCCATGTGGGATTGCCGGGATGACATGATGACATCGGAGCCCGAGCGGCTTGTTCCTGTTCATCTCCTGGCAAGACCCGTCGGCGTGTTCCAAATTGTGTCGACTTCTTGCAGAAGACGACTATATTTAAATGCAGCACGTGCCGATGTTGGAGATCCGAACTGCAGCGTTCAAACCTGCGACCGTGTACAAAAGGGCAGGCTTGCCTGCTTTCGGTTTCAGCTTTTGGGGTTCAAACAGTTTAGGGTGTTTTTATCATTACTATTATTATCGATATGACTACAATAGTATTAATAGCTTACTACCATTAGTTTGGTTTAGGGTTTGGAGTAACGGGCTGGGTGTTATGGCAACTTCAGACCCCTGGGCTCGGATCCAAGGACGAAGGACGCCTGCATCATCACCTACAAGGGCTCGATGCAGGATACGTTTCTGGTGAAATGGAAGCGGCTAAGAAGCCCCCAACACCTGAGCAGGAAGACCCCCAGACTACAACTCTTTGGTTTGGGGTTTAGGGTTTAGGGTTTAGGCCAACTTCGGGCATAGTGGAAAGCCTGCTATCCTAAACCCTAAACCCTAGAACATAAACTCCAAGCTCCGGCATGCCTGGCAGTGCAAGCCGGAGCTCGCTGCAGCCTTGGTTAGTCTTATCCGGTGCGATGATTTCTTTGGCGCAAGTGAAGTGTAGGGTTGAGAAATTCAGGGTTCAGGGTGTAGGGTTTATGGTAGCCTGCATCTCCGAAAACAGAAAGACTGGACGAGAAGCAGATTTTTCTCTGCGCGGGCACTCGAGTCCCATAACAGGTAGAAGCCTGAAGAATTACCAACCTCTACTCCTTAGGTTTCATGCATATACCTCGACTATAACATACCATTTTCTTAGGGCTCCTTATTATCACGATACTATAACATACCCCCCAAAACCCTCTGCCAATCATTGAGGCTCCCCGTATGAGTCAGTCCCGATGAGGCGAACCTTCCCGACACCCCAGCGTGAACCGTGGGACCCCAGGGTTTAGGGTTTAGGGAAGCGGATTCGCTGGCTAACACTCACAGCCCAGCCGCAAAAAGGGTTTAGGGAAGTTGACGGCTGGTTAGGGTTTATAGGGCTTCAGGGTTTAGGGGCCGCGAGGACTGTTGCGATCTGAGCCGCTCAGGTTATACCCTGCGAACCCGGGAATGCACTGCCTAGGTCGCTGGATTTCTCCGCTACGTCGTGAGTTTACCACACAGCATAATTACCGCTGCTGCATCCGACTGTGACTGTGATGTCTTCCTATAGGTCCTCTGTTCATGTGGCAGGGTTCTCAGATTGCCTCATAGCCGAATGGATTGTTGTAGGTCAAGAAAACGGGAGAGAGAGACATAGAGAGAGAGGGAGAGTCAACTTGCAGAGTGTAGCATGCGAGCCCTAAACCTTCCTCAACCCTACCCTATACCTATGCAGCCCACAAACACAAGCGGCGAAGGAGGATGCGGTCATGAAGCTGCGCTTTAACGGTGGTAAAGAAGTCAAGTGGCTTCGGCACCCCGGCTTGCAAAAACTTTGCGTGGAGAAGCCTATTCACGTAGATAGACAAATGACAGATGGATAGGTCGATAGATCGGCAGACAGACAGATAGGTCGAAAGACAGGTAGGTAGAGTGATAGATAATTACATAGACATAGATATACAGATACATAGGTAGATAATTAGATCAATATTAGCATGCAGACATTGGGTCTGTCGCAATGACCTCAATGACTCGAATGCAAGGACTCGATGTTGGGAGCTTCGAAATCCTACCTATGGATCTCTCATACACACACGGAGTGTCACGCATAACATCACACGTAGAGTGACACACGCACACACACACACACACAGAGGGTCACAGACACGGATGTGCAGAGCCGGCGCGAGCAATCAAGGCGGCATGCGAATGAGCCAAGTATAAGCACGCGGCACATGGCACATGGATGTTGCTAGTGCCAGGTCGACTGGCGATGCCACCTACACGGGCACCATACACCAATCTGGGACTTCTTTGCTGCTTCGTTCCTTGAGCAAGAACCTCCTCTCGATTCAGAGCCTCAGCTTCATGTTCACAGCACGCGGGTGGTGTGGCTTGCGCTTCGGCTTTGTGTTTTCTTCGGCATAGCCCTGCTAGGGTGGCAGGCTACCGTCGCACCAGAATTGAGGTAAAGACTGGAGCCTCTCCCAGCTGCAAGATTCTTTCAGTTACGGGGCAGGCTTTTTGCTGAAGAACTACACGCGCCTGGTTTGATTTGCTCCAGGTTGCCACTTGCCCCGCAGAAAAGTGTCCCTAGTTCCTCAATCCCCCTAGTCTCTATGGAGCTGATACGTGCGCCCAGATTTTTTCCTGGTGCACTCTAGGGCTGCTGGCATTGGCGGACGGGGAAGGAGTGATAAGTCGAAAGAAAGATGCGAAGCCCTCGAAGCCTAAACACATCCAAACACCAAAACCTACCACCCTACACCCAATGCCCTGCACCCTAATCCTCTCGGTCCGCGGTGGTCGGGCATCAAAACCTGACCCTGTGATACAGTGGACCCTAAAATGAGGTACCGAGACAATGCTTCCGAGGCTTGGAGCAAGGCTGTCCGGCTTGAGTGATTGAGAGTTAGGGATACGGGCTGCCCTGAGGTTTCTACGCGGGTTACTACCAGAGTTCTATAGCGATTACTCAGGGACAGTCCGGCTTCAGGATCAGAAGTTGAGGGATTTAGGAGTTTGGGGTTGGAGGGTTTCGAGGTTTGGCATTTGGGTTCAGGCTTTATAACAGTTGAAGAGCAAATACAGAGGCCTGAATGGTCCGTAATGTTAGGGTTTCCCATGTAGCTCGTTTGAATAGCAATTGTCCCAAATGGGCAAAGCCCAATACGTACGAGCATTCTTGTCCCTGGACTTGGAAGGAGTATATAAGAAGGTGGCCTGTCAGTCAGTCACTGTTTCTGCAATGGAGGATGGTGGGAGACTTTGGTATGTAGCGTGGCCTACATGTACACCTTAGCTCTCGGCGCTCAAATGCCTTGTCCTCCAAGCATGTGCTCTAGGAGCTTGAATCTTTAGTCATGTAGTGCTCTTCCTTAGAACCCGCAACCCTGGACCCTAAACCCTGATAGCATTGTAGCTCGGATGCCCCCAAGCCGCTGTCGAGTTCTGCAAGCCCCCAAACCCGAATACCGCCATCGAACAGGTACAGCATCTCATCGGAGCCGTTATCGTAAGCCCTCCATATTAGGCTCATATAACTGTCCTCCGGGAAGCACAGATGGACTAGGTTGGCAATTCCCTGGCCTGCTGCTAACTCCCTTGCCGGCGCTGCACATACATCCTCCGAACATAATGGCTACGCGTCAATGCTGAGTCCTTTGGTCAGCTTACGGTTCAAAGCTTACGTCTTCAGGCTCTAGGGGTGTTGCGTTCTGCCTACAGCTCCTACAGTTCGCCGCGCTCTTGCCGGACGGCTTTGGCAAGTCCTTGATCTCTCTTGCTCGCAGGAAGTTCGTTACAGCCGGCTCATGGTGCCCTTGCCAGATCAAGCATCCTGGACCCACATGGTGTAACTCAGTTTAGAGTACGTCTCTGCATGGACGGAGGATACCGTGAGTGCTTGTATAACGAGCTTACCATTCTATAGATGCGGAGAGTGACAACCGAACAAGCTGGTACAAGACCGGCCAGGAGTATTCAGTAGGATGCAGTCTCAGCTAACTGCGACACTGACCGAGAACACTCTATACCCTAAACATCCAGACCCTAAACCGTTTGGTATACCCTAAGACATGCCAAGGTCAATGCTATGGCCAAGGATCCAAAAGCCGTGAAACCCGGTCTGTTGCTTAGTCGGAGCTGTGACTCTGGGTTTTAGGGCGTGGGGATTCGCAACATAGGATGTATAGTAATGTGTGTTCAAGAGCACCTGGAGCTGTCAGCCCTTGCACGGATATTTCGGGTGATCGGGTAATGCTCAAAAGGGTCGTTGTTCTTCACCGGCTTCTCTCTTTGGGGTGTATAGGGCTCTCATGGGTGAGAGGCCTTTGTCAAGTTGCAGCATCTACGAACCACGAGCGGCTCAGCAACGTGTTTTTTGGAAACCCTATTCAACACCCTATTCGAGCCATTACGGCCCCTACAGCATACAATCCTAAACCCTAGAAACGAAGAGCGGATTCGGTTTCAGGGTTCCGGGGCCTGCGTCTCAAGGGCTATGAAGGAAGAACTCGGTTTGCTGTCACAGTTCTTGAGATCCAGACATTTCTGAGGTTTAGGGCTTCAGGGCTTTTAGGGTTTAGGGTTTAGAGGATTAAGGTTTAGGGCTTTAGGGTTTACGGGTTATAGGATTGCGAAAGGGTTTAGAGTATAGAGTTTATGAGGTTTTAGAGAGTGGGCAAAGGGTCGCAATACCCGGGGTCCGTCATCTTGAACCACATTTTCAGAATTCAAGAATGACTGCGTGCAATTCCACAAAGATTAGTGTTGCGACACCACGATTGAGAAGTCATTCATACACGAGTGACAGGTGTTGCTCCAGCAAAACAAAGGAAACATGTCATAAGCCTGGTCCTGAGATTTTGCATGCCAGTAGCTTGTAACTCTGGAGCGCGAGCCCAACGCGTTTGGTTCCCTGTACAAGCTAAGCCTTCATTCTTGGTCTCGAAGCCATAACCCTACGGCCCAACTGCGTCTTGAGCTGGGGAGTGGCACTTATGGGTTTATGTGGATTTGGACTTATACAGACACATGGTTTGGGGCGCGCCCTCCATGCCCCAACAGGTGCCCTGCAGTACAAGGACTGCGACCGCCAAGCCATGGAGCACCATGGTTTCTTGGGCAGTGACGGGTAGGATGAGTTGACTTGGGTGGATACGTCCAGTCTACCTCGACAATAACCATTGCAGCAACTTCACCCTAGTCGTAACCTTAATCATAGCCCTCATAAAAACACAGTGTAACTTAATGACTACACGTGCTACTAAAAGGTCACTGCAGCGGTAAGGGTTACTACAAGGCTACTACAAGAGCCACTGTAGTGGTTGCTATAAAGATTCCTTTGTGGCTTCCTCGTATCATCTCCAAAGGTGCAACGGTAGCTTCTGCTTCTGCGTAGATTCCGTGGAAGACCTCACAAAACTGGCCCACTTGAAAAGTACGTGAGAGTCTCAGAAATCGAGGAACCTCAATGTGGACCTTGTATGGCCGCCCCATTTACCAGGGCTCCACACGACATCGAACTCAGATCATTGAGCAAAGAGACCTCAAGTGGGAATCTTCTGACGGCATCCATGAACTCCGAATTCTTTCTTGGGACGTTGATAAGCTCTGATGCAGGTTATGGATAGCAAATACTATGGCTAGGGTTACAGGTATTGCAGGATGCGGATTAACACCCCTCCCACGCGCGCAAGGTCATCAAAAAGTACATGCATGGGTTCATGGTCAATCCCAGCAGGACCTCTGGCTTAGCAAGGGTCTCTCGACATGAGCACTCCCAGCATGCGCCAGGTGAGTGTGAATACCCCTACATACCCTACATAAGCACAGAGACCCAAATCGGTGATTTTTGGGGAGGAAGGGGGCTGCAGTTTTGGTTCTGGGTTCTCGGCTTATCGCATCTTATCGCAGGGGGGGTCAACTGGACTTGCTCACGAGACTGTTTGTAGACCTCAGACAGGCACGTCTGAGAATGGAGGTATGTGAATCTGAAAACCATCTTACCTTGTTCGGAGCTTCAAACAACTTTAATTTTTGCTGTAGATACCCGAGATTGAAAGTAAGCGGAGGCTGGTACTTGCCTCCAGAGTGGGCCGGCGACGGCCTCTACCGGGGCTTGCCGCCTGGAGCCAAAATGTCCATTCATACCGCAACCCAAGCAAAGGAATGCCACTGCAGGAACGTTAATTTCTGAACCCTCAGCTTAAGTTATGTACGGCTTACTCTTTGCCATCAGAAGCACGGGCCTTATTTTGCAGTGCTCCAATCTCGCACGTGGAGTTGTGGTCTGGTCCGAGTTGGTGTTAAGAGGTCTCCCACTACCCCTTTATCCTTTTCTGTGGTCTTAGGTTCCTTATGGAGCTACCGAATACCAAAAAAAGCAGCCGCTTTGTATTCCTAGGACTGGGGATCCTGGGGACCGTAGTGTTGGAATACCGCGCCATTATTGCGAATCATTGCAAGAGCAGTAGTAGCAGTAGCCGTAGCCCCGTAGCCTACGATGCAGTGTATAGCCCTAGCCAGCCCTAGCCTGCGTAGCCTTCGTCGTCGTAGTAGCGGCAGCAGCAGCAGTAGTAGTTGTTGTTGCTTTAGTCGAAGCACCGTGAACTACAACTATACTTGTCAATCCGGTGTTCATAGCTATTGTATGCTGCTTGAGTTTGCTGATGAAGTCGCAGCCAACTACTAGCATAGCAAATCAAGACATGGGTCGCTGTCATTCTGCCGTGCAATTACCATGGTAGGTAGTTGTTACTTCCAATTGCAGTCGTTTTCTTGAGCGGCCTGACATTGCCATCTGACATCGTCTCTGCCACCACGGCTGTGTTTTGGTAGATGCTGCAAGCTGAACATGTAAGCCCAAGCCGTGACTCGAAGAAAGCCGAGAGTCTTGCGTAGGGCTGTGGGTTTATGCAGGGTTGCCCATCGATGTACTGCTTGAATAGTACAATCTTCTACAACCACATTTTTTCGTACTGAATCCCGATGCGATGTTTAGAGCATCACCTTGCGGATTCGAGGGGCGAGGAAGAGGCAACCGCTAAGGTTTTGTGTTTTGCCTCTTCAACACCCTCGCAACTAGAAAAAAAAACAAGTGTAGCACAATGAGGCTTAGTCGCCTCGAACCCTGAACGCCGAGACCCTGAATCCGATTCTCGAAACCTTCCGCGCTTTCAAGCGCTTATTCAGACCCCCAAACCCCTGAACCATTCCATCCCCAACTCCCTCCACAATCAAGGACACGCCAAGGCGATCCTGAGGTCCAGTTCTAATATCACTTAGCAATAATCATATATGTAATATTTTTATTTAGTGTGAGTAGTATCAGGGTTACTTTTTGGATGCGTATACAGGTTACTTTGAGGGCTTAGGGGCGGGTTCCAAACTGCAAGGGTTACTTCAAGTGTTAGTCTTCGGGTTACTACAGGGGCTGCTTTATGGGTTTCTTCCAGGCTGACTGTAAGGGTTAACCTAAGGGTTAGCATTGGGGTTTCAATTAGGATTATTGTTCGGAGTGCAAAAAGGGTTTCCAGGTTCGGAGGCTTGGGGCTTCGGGCTGCAAGGCTGCACATGACAACATGCAAGCCTCGGGGCCTTTCGGCCGTCTGCCGAAACACGAAAATACTCTACTCTCACAGTATGCAACTGTATGCAGCCCCTTGTAGTAACTATTACATCTATAGTGACCCTTGTCGTAACCCTCTTCACATACTATAGGGGCCTGAACGATCACCCACACTATTTTGAGCAGGTTTTTTATTTTACGTATAGTAGAATATACCCTCCCCAAAAAAATTCTGTTCTAATTTGTAAGGCCCCTATATCACACGATATGTACCGGAGCAGGTTGTCCAGTGCATCACTTCGGATACATGTAGGGCAAGGTGCCACATGCGGAACATGGCACAGACCTTCTGGTAAACAACTATATAGCGGCCTTCATCTCTTTCGTTGGGCCTACAGGGTTTTCCTAGGGGCGTTTAGGGTTTCGCTAGGATTAGGGTTGAGTATCGGAGACTTAATAACTCGATTGGGGCCTGATACGAACACAAGAGCTGTAGTCTTCATGCACCGCAGTACCAGATCCCTGAAGCTTGCGCACCAAACCATGAAAGCTGAGAGGTCGTGAGAAGTGCCGACTTCAGATTCGTTCCCGACTGTGAGGAAAAGGAGGTGGCTGGCATTCTTGCAAAGTGCAGCAATGTGTCGGCGGCCATACTTTTCGTGATGGTGCTAGCTGCTGCTGCTGCCGATGATGCTGCTGGTACTGATGCTGTTCATGCGCTACAGCGTTGCTCCTGTGCTGGTCTGTCTGCTACAAGATGCAGCTGGCAACTAGCAGCACAAGCACAATATCGACCATTGCCACTCCTGCCCAAGCCACGATACAACCTACTCCAATTGCAGCTTCGGTGACGCCATGTCTCACCCTCTCAATAGAACATGCTCGCCCGAGTGGTATGTGTGTCTCTGTTTGTGTGTGTGTCATGTATGCCTGTATATTATATAGATACCATATATATATATATATAAGAGTGTGTGTGTGTGTATGTGTGTATGTACATGAATGGGTGTGTGTGTGTGTGTGGGTGTATAGGCCAGGTGTGTAGGTGCGAGTCCGTGCGTGTAGCGGCATGCTTCTGCTTCATGCGTTCCTCACCAGAGACTCGTCCTCGCAGCGTACATGCACGGACTCGACATGTCTTGGATGAGTTTCAGTATCGAGTGTTCTATGTCAGGTTGACATTTAATAACTATAGTTACAAGATAACGATTAATAGCAATAAAACATGGTACTAGTAAAGAAATATTAATAATTTCTCACATACCGGCCTCCCGTTGTCGAAAACACAGTGCTCCTCTCAGCCTTCGCTGAAACAGCCCTGCATGTCGCTTCCAGGCTCCGAACAGGCCCTGCAACTTCAGCTCCTTTCAATGTCAACAGAATTTATATGGGACTTTCCGAAAATAAGGGGGTACCTTATTTTGGGGTCCTAATAATAAGGATCCTACTATTTAGGGTACTATATTAGGGTCCCCTATTTTAGGAAGCCCCCATATGGGACCCCCAAAGGGCCACTAAAGGCCAACTAAAGAAGCCAACCTCCATGTCCGGGATACTACAGCAAGTAGTTCATGTGTAAGAGCTTTTATCCTAGCTCGCCTTGCCAGGACAAGCAGCGCTACCTGGCCACCTATGTGGGTGAACCAGATGGCACCCTAAGCACCTCAGGCATGTTTTCTAGATAGGCGATTGCGATATCTTGTTTGAGATGCTTTGAAGGGCCAACCTGGTTTTTAAGACTGTAGAAGCCTCGTCACGTAGCACCGCACAAAATGTCATTGTGCTTTGCTGCTTGCTGGAGCTGCATATGCCCAATCACTTTATGTAAGGACAAAAATCCGTGCACTACTGTTGGTTTGAAGAGACTTTGTGGTGAGGTCTATTGGCCACGAGCATACTTTTTTCAGGTAGCATGTTTGATAAGGGAAGTGTTGTTTTTGTTTGTCGCCGCCCTGCCCGGCTTTTTAGACCCAACCCTTTCTTGCTGTTAGCATGCGGGGCTTGCAAGCCCGCTGCCGTCAGTGAGTGATATTTGACAAGCCGGCTCCGAACAACATTGCATCTCGTCGGCAGTAACCATTGACCGCGCCGCCCAAGTTGACCAAACACTGGAAACAGGTGCAGCAAAGGACTCGGAACAAGGAGAACAATGATACGGAGAAGAAGAAGGAACAAAAACAGGGGAGACAGAGAGAGAGAGAGAGAAAGAGCACGAGCAATGGAGACTAGGAGGCGCAGAAAGAGGAATCGATGGAGGGAGAGACGCGAGACCCGAAACGAGTGCTGGTAGACTTGTATCACGCTTGCAGGTGAG